CGGGCCGTACTAACGGAGGGACGACCCCCCACCCCCCACCCCCCCTACCCCCCCTCCCCTCCTCTCTCTCTCTCTCTCTCTCTCGTTGGTGGCATGCACCACCGTAAGAGTTCTTAAGGAGGTGGTGCGCACCGCCTAGGGCTTATAGAGGGATGCATTCCCATCCGTAAGAAGAAGGCAGGTGCCTTGTGCCATTTCAAAGGGTTACATAAAACCCTAGGTCTAAACTATGTTCTCATAAAATGCTAGATTTGTGAGGTATAGCTAAAAGAAGCATCCCGGCTTAGAAAATCCATCAAGCTTAATAGGATCAGAGTGCAAAATCAGTAAAGAAATCGGGTGTGGGGTGTAATAAAACCTATGGGGGTGACCCTAGCCCTACGCAAATTTGAGTAAGTCTCCTATGTTGTTTGCTTTTATTTTCCCGTCATCTTTGCGTGTTTATTTAAATATTCAAGAATATTGATTGTACTAAAATTGTTAATGGAAGTGCTTTTTTCATTCTTGGATTGTGTCTTATTCTATTTGGCAGTAAAAACTAAGATCCTTTGTTGTTTTTGGGTTATTTATTGTTTACAGAAGTGTGCATTGTGGCACTTGTAAGTGGAATTCAGATACAGAAATAAAAGAAAAGGAGAAAAAATTTTATTTTACTTATGGCGTCACTAAGGATATGGCCTTTAATAGAGCAGAATGGAAAACCAGGATTCACATAGCCAACCTCAATTAATTGGGAAAAGGCTAAAATGATGATGATGAAATTCTGCATAGGCACTTCTTTTAAAGATTTCCACATATGTACAAATATAACGAGAAATATGTATACCACATTTGTTTGAAATGGACATATTTCACCAAGAACGAGGCGATATTTTGTTATATGTATATATCATCATTCACCTGTATTTGACTTATCATAGTCAAATGGATATAGTTTTCCATGAGGCTGCTTTCCATTAGGTGTGGCTCAAATTTGGTATGCAGATACGCTACTGACGAAGTAGAATTCTGGTTTAGATTGAGAAAAGCATGCAAGTTTTCAGAAGTGTCTCGTGTTTAAATTACTCATAGTTAATCAGATCTGCAGTCTGGGGTATGCTTTTACGACAGACTAGTCCTCTTTTGTTGTTTGTAATTATCATTATAAGTGTTGAATGACCTGATGATTCTTGTGGCTGTCTTCTGATTCCCTAAACCTTTGAAGGTCAGCAGTGGACCTATATTACTGCTCATTGTGTTACATGGTCCTTGAAATCTCGTGTAACCCCATTGATATTTCTTCCCTTACACGGCATAGATGACACATGATAACTGTTATATGATGACGATACCCGTGTTCTGCTTTATTATTTTCTTTGGAGTGCTGGAATGGCTTATTTCATCCAATACGTCCAGTTTATCTAAAGTTTCCTTTGGATTTTGTTGTACCATTTTTGTCTTGGAAAAGCCCATTCCATGAGTTAGTCTTGCCTTAGTTACGATGACATGGTGCTCCCTGACTTTTCACAGTAAAGATCATCACAGAAGTTCATTTATTGCTACTGAAGTTTCGACAATGGGTGAAACAGAATCTTCTCACGCGCAGTAAGAAAATGCATTTTGTTTTTGGGAATTATTTTATATTCTTTGGATTGATTAATGTTATTGTTGCAGTGAGATTGTGCTGGATTTTAATCTCAGTAGTGATGTGAGTGATGAAGAGCTTGATAATTCCGGTGAAGATAACATGGTCTGTGTACCATCTTCATCAGACAAAGCAGAAGAGGACATAAGCAAAGTGGATAGTGAAGTGACTGCAGGTGATTTCTCCTTTTTCTCTTATTTAGCTGTTAATATGTTAGGCATTTTAGTGATGCCTAATATATTGTAGATTTGGGGATGTTGAGAAGAACTCTCAATGTGTATCGTAGATTTGGCCGTTTCTTATCACGAAGTGAGTTTTGATCCTTTTCTAACAACTGATTATAAAATAAGAAACTTCTGCAGGTGCTGCCTGTATACTCATGGCTTCCAGGAACTAAAAACCTGTTCTATATGTGAAGGTAGAGACCATTGACATGACAAATGCATGTGAGCATGCACACATGCAACGGCGTGGAATAGGAAATGTCAACAAAATTATCCTTATAACTGTATTAGTGTCTGATCATAAAGATTTCATGTTCGCAGCCCAATTTAAAGCAACTTGACTATTTCAGGTGGTTGTGCAAGGTGGATAATTCCTAATGTGTGCATGTATGGGCACATGCTTGCACGTCTATGAATAGATACTTCATGATGCTATCTATTTGAATGCTTTTTCCAACTTGATTGCTTCAAGTCTAGGATTTCGTGCTCCCACACACTTTATTGTTGAATCAAAATCCACTTTAGCCTTGTGGGATGTCTGTGATTTGCATGTAAAGGGTTTGAGAGAGGTGGGCCCATAACTTGAACATATTGAGAATGTCTCTGGAGCATATTGGTCAAATCTTGGAGTATTTCGTGTTATTGGTGATGCACTTGATAATGCATTTTTTATATTTATTGATAATGCCGGAGTAAGTTTGATTACTAAAACCATGCCCGCATCCTATGGATGGTTTCCCTGTCATCTAATTGTGTGAAATTTTTGTACAGGAAAAAGGGAGCCAGGCCGGAGAGTACGCAAGCCAGGAGCTTCTACTACCACAACGTCGGTGTCAGAAGTTACTAACATTGTGAGTTTTGTTTTAATATTTTATTCAGAAACATATACACTGCATTTGCCACCACTTTTATATACTCTATATGCACAAGTGCTTTGTAAAAAACTGTCTTATATACTAATTTTTAAAATTGGAAATCTCTTGAACAGCATTTGATTGTAGTTTCTAGAAGGAATAACAGATACAGGAGTTCCCACAGAATAAATAGCACTAGAGATTGAAAAGCTAACGCAGCAAGAGTTACAATGCATAATAAGAGAGAGTTCCAGAATATGTATAACAGTACAGTATTCTATGGTTTGCTTCAATCTTCGGATGCCTAATTAGTGGCTTTTATGACAAATAGGTTTAGAAAACTTCTCTGCTACTAAGGTGTCCTAGTAAAGCGACAGGGCCTTTCCTAAAGACAATTTGCTCCGTCTTTTCGCGTCTTCTCTTGTTTGTTTTTTTAATTTATTCCAGCAGTTATTATCTTCCGTGTTTGTACACAGTTTCTCATCTCTCTCTCTCTCTCTCTCATCATGCATTTGCATGTGCCAGGGGTTCAACTCTTACCTATTTCTGTGCTAAGTGTATGAGTTTGTGTTGCTTATGATGTGTTTTTTTCCTGCAGGGTCTTCGACGTTCTCGTAGGAGGAGAAACTGAATCTGCATCCCTTGCTAGTGTACATTGGTAGGAGACTTGAGTACATGAAGAACAGCATGCTTGTAAATGCCCATTTTGTCTCATTTTACTCACCTTGTATATCTCGTCCGGGTTCCGTAGAATTTTGCATTTTTGCCTTTTCAATGCGTCCTGCTTAGCACTGTTTTTTTATATATCAAAATTAAGCTGTGGTTTGGCCATTTCCTAGCAGGCCGCCTTGTATCCATAGATTTTGATGTATTTGTCCCTTGCTTGATCCTCATACTGCCCAATAGAATGAGAGGGTGATTTGGAAGTCATAGTTTTACAAGGAGAATGGGAATGCACGTGGCAAGGAAATGAAACAAAAAGAGAAGCAAAATCTTGTTGTGATCTTACATTTTGAGCCACAACCAAATAGTATTTGAGTCTGATTAGTATGATCATGTTAATGTTGTGGTTGAAACGAGGCATCACCACAGGAATGGCTAGAGATGGAGAAGGATCATGCCAAACATTTCTCACTAATTCAACAGTATATCGCTCACCTATGAACGTTGATTAGACGGTGATGACCATATGGCAACTTTACCATGATCTTATAGATCTTAGTACATTTTTTTTTCCAAATCAACCTGATTTTAGATCTTTCTTGGCTGGTGGTTGCTTCTCTTGAGAATGTAATGTGGGTTTCATGTATTTCTTCTTTCAAATAAATGACCCTTAGGAGGAGATTTTTCGGGACATTAATGGTGATTTTGTCGTTTGTGAGAGATTAGGAAAATGTAGGAAATAGTACCTGAAAGTATTTTCCAAAGCAAAAATACAAAGAAGTAGAAATGCAATACCTTGAGAAAAAAAAGTGAATATGTAGCGAGGAAGAGAGAAAAAAGTTAAATCCACATGGTGTAACGGATTAATGTATTTCCGCCCAAGTATTTGCTTGAGGAAACTTTTCTACATTGTCCCCTCACATAAAATATATAAAATACAAGTTAGCCTACAAGTGTCTGATTTTGATCAAACGGTTGACTGTTTGGTTTTTGCAATAACGTTTGTATATGGTTACAACATTAAAATGTAGAATTAAAGGTCCACTTCATAAATCTAATTTCGATGTAGGAAAACCCCAAATTGATGATCTCGATATCGAGATGTATGAATATGTATGAATATGAAAAAAAAAAAAGGATGTTAGTATGTAAAATAGTGTATCTTGAAATACATTATTAGGAACGTCTATTTTTAAGATTTTGTGTTTATAAATATACTTGATTTGAATTATTTTTAGAGTCTAAAATTTTTTAATTAGAGATGAACATTGATTCTCAAGTTAGTCTAAGAATATTTTATATTAAGTTATATTTATAATAAAAATTAGGTGCCTTAATTGGATTATTTAAGGTTGTAACCTTATACAAACATACCTATCTTATGGGATTTTCTGTAGAGAGATTATTTATTTTTTTTAATGGAAGTCACAATTATTCTCGTCTTTTAAATTTCAAAGTGTTGTAAAAATGTCATTGAATAGACAGTTCTAAAAAAAAAGTTGGACTCAATCCAAGCCATCCAATGTGGCATAAACAAAGTTCTAAATTATTTTATTTCTTTTGGAATTCGTTACTCACCTTAAGCCATGCAACTTGACATCGAGTAAAAATAATAGTGATCTCTATGTACAAAAGATAAAAAGTTTGTAGACTTTCTATTATCTTATAAATCATTTCACTATAAAGAGCCCTCTTTTCTTCTTTTTTTTCCACTTAATTGGAAAGAGGTTTCTTAATAAAATAATTTACCAAAGTACCCACGTAATTAGAGGGCTGCTTTAGTTAGAAATCTTTTTTATTTTCACGAGACGCGGCCTTATAAGAGGTGGTGGTTTATCGAATAATTTAAAATAGAACAGTTTTTGGGGTGACTTTTTAATTGAAATTATTCACAATATCTATTTAGATCGGACGGCTAGCCCACATATAAATGTTTCCCTTGCATGGCATGGATGAAATAAAATGGTTCTTTGGATGATTGGGCCACGCATTGGAATTAAATTTTGGGTGCAGTTTGTATAGAGCCTAGGCTCTAAACAATCAAATTAGAGCCTATCTTCAAATAGTGTCAAGAAATGCGGTTGCAACACATGAAATTTTTGTGATAGCATTAGAATATATTTTTACTTTTATTTATAAATTTCAAAGCTTCAAAAATGGTGTAGATCGATAGATCTATGAAAACTTGAAAATATTGAAAATTGGCGGTCCAAAAATGCATTACAACACAACATACATTATTTCCAAAACTTGAAATCCTTTTTTTTCTCATGTCCATGCATCTTGATGTCGAGATGATCAATTTTAGGATATTTGGGCAACAAAACAATCTCTTCTAGTAAAAGTTTTGAGGTAGGCTCTAATTTGATTGTTTAGAGCCTCGGCTCTACATGAACTTTTCCCTTAAATATTTACCCAAGTAATACCCTCTTTTTTTTCTTTTTCTTTTTTGACAAGATGAGTGACGCAACGTCCATTTGCAACATTTGTAATACCCATTACAAAAAGATCAAAAAACCCTCAAATCCAATCATCTCGACCTTGAGATACATTTACATAATATATATATAAGGACTTGAATATAGTATATCTTGTAATGCATTATCTGGGCCGTCAATTTTTAATATTTTCAAGTATTTATAGATCTGCTTGATCTAAAATATTTTTGGAACTTTGAATTTTATAATTGGACATGAAAATAAATATTTGGTCCATCATAAAGATCATTGGTACTAAAATGACATCGTTTGACATTATTTTAAGGTGCACCTTATTCTGATTGTTTAGGGCCTCAGCCTTAGACAAAACACACCCTTAAAAGGAAAAGGACAAAGTTTTTACCAAAGTAATACAAAATCCGGGCAGGGGAATTTTGTTGTTGTCTATATTTGAAGTTTTCTTGTGGCTTATATCATGAGGAGTTTAGTATTAAATTAATAATTTTTTGTTGAGATTGATAAAGGCGAATTTAAAAAGTGCGATAGAAAAATAAAGATGTAAAAAATTTCAACCTAAGAAAATTGACATTAATTTTTTTATGCAAATCATAATGAAAGGCGAATATAATGTATTCCTGCTAGACTATACTATTCATTTGCTCCCTTAGGCCTAAAAGGTATTTAGTATGATTTTTTAATTTAGAACTTTGAGATCCACCTACGGACCACAAGAGAACTATTTTGTCCAAAAATTAGATGATTCCTCTTCAATATTTAAATTTCCATTTTTTTTAGGCGACCAGTTGAAATTTATTTTTTGGGAAGTTTAATAAAATACCCTTTAACATGTTAACTATTTAAAGTTTTACCTATGACTCTTGATTTCAATTCAAACTACTCATCAGAGATACATGATCACGAGTTCAAACAGTCGCACACAGGTAAATTGGTGAATATTTCATCTCTTATAGGTATTTTGATTAATTACCCTCTCTTTTCTTTTTGAAGTTGTTCACCAGGTTCAAGAAGTTTCATCCCTACAATTAGGGGGTCTAAGAATACATCTTAGGTCAGTTTTATCTGAGGGAGCAAATGGACAGGCGTGGTTTTCTATGGTCCGGTTGTAGAAGGATTTATTTTCAGCATAATTAAAATATAAAAAATATTCCAAATTTCTCTTGAATTGCCTCATTGAGTATGTGTTTAATGTTTTGTTTTTTTTTTTTGGAGAGAGAGAAAAAGTTGTATAGAAGTTGTCGACCTTAAACAATCAAAGCAAGACATACCCCCAAATTATATTGGTAGATGTGGTTTCATGGCCAAAAACCCTTATGGTAGTTTGAAAATTTATTTTCACCACCATAAAATTTAAAGCTCTAAAAATAATGTAGATCAAATAGATCCATAAACTCTTAAAATATTGAAAATCAATGCTTTAACTAATATAAATATATAGTATTTTTAAGACTTGGAAGTCTTTTGTCATATCCATATATCCTGAGATCAAGATTATCAATTTGAGTATTTTTTGACATCATAAGAGCTTTATATTTTTGAAGTACGTTATTTTTACAATATAAGGTTGTTGCCTTATATAGACTTTATCCAGCTATTTTGGGTAAATGACATGTTCCTTTACAAAAACAGAATGCTATTTTCGCTTTAAATTACATGTATATTATTGGCGTAAATTTTTTTTGTTGTGATGATAATGAGAAGCCTTAAAATAATGTGATAAATTCATTTACCATGATATTATAAAAGTTATCATGCAATAATTCTATAGTAATATAATAAAATATTCTTCAAATTTCATGTTACAGCCATTTATTTAACCCTAAATTTTATATATGCATTCGTTTCATTTATTGAACAATAAAAATAAATAAATGAAAAAACACCTTAGAAAATATTTTTTTTTTTAGCCCAGCTATTATAAGTCATCTACTTTAGTGAGATGCTTAAATTAGGGCTTGAAATTTGTTCTTTTCAAATTTTTTAGGTAGCTCTAATATCATTAGATTTATAACGTTCAAAAAGAAAACCTGATTTTGAATTCATAAATGCTTAGATATTGAAATTCACCAAATAAATAGTCAAAATTTGTTGTTTGAGGGCACTCATTTTGATTATATTTGGAATGCAAATTAAATTTTATTTTTTTGAATTGATTATTGAGATGAAAAGAGTGTGTGTGTAGAACTTGGGTTCGTATAAATGCTACAAACATAATTTCTAGAAGTGTGGTTCCATTATATTATAATGACACAGTGACATGAAACTATTCTGCTTTTATATACATATATATAATTTTATTTTATTTTATTTTATCAGAGATAATTGTCATTGTTATATTGTTAGAATACTTCAGGATAAAAATTTGGACAATACTCTTCCCCAATGGTTAATCAATTTGGGATGAGGTTATTTTTGTGCATGTTGTTGAACCTTCATATGCGGTCTTTCTTATGTCGCGAAAATAAGAAAAGACCCTAATACTATAGATATTGTAGGATAGTTGCCTATCTTTAGGAGGAGGCTAAGAGAGGTGGTATAGAGAGAGGTGCGTAGGTATCTCTAGGGGAAGAGAGAAGAAATCTGAAAATAATAGGATTATTCTAAAAAAATTAAAAAAACCATTCAAATGGTAGTTATCTTTGAGGGGATTTTTTTATTTCTCTCTCACGATCCACTCTCATTTTAGGAACTAATATAGATAGATATATTATGATCCTCTCTGCTTCCTCTTTCTTTTTTCGTAGTTTTACTTATTTCTATAATATTATTCCTAAAAAATTGGTAAAAGTATATCAATTTGGAAATCTTTTGTGATCTCTAATGCCAGTTGTAGTGAGCTTTTCTCTTTCCTTATTTCAAATTGATACATGTATATCTTTTTGAAAAATTTTGAGATCTCTTTTTATGAGTTCCTCTTTCCTTATCTCTCTACCAAGTCCACATGAGGGAGCTAAAAATATATTAGCAACAATCCCATGCTTTAGATATATAGGAATGTATACATCGTTGGATATTATAGTAAGTACATTCCTATATCAGAATATATATATATATTATAGTAAGTACATTCCTATATCAAAAAATATGTACGTCTTGCTTCCTCATGCCTTTGTGTTGCATATTTTGTTATTTGATTTACC